CGGTTTTTATTAATACCTTCCTCCACCCACAACAACACGAGTGGAGGTCTAGTTCTTTACCCTTCAACACCATTTGGTGGCAGAAGGTGGCTATGAAAAAAAAATTGTAGCTGACATTACCTGCACTGCGGCTTGCAGCTAACTCTTCCTAGTGGTAGAAAGCAGGACTAGTACACACGATGCTTTGAAGACATTACCTAGACTGTGGCTTATATACAACACAGCCTAGTAGTAGAAAGCAGGACTAGTAGACACGATGCCTTGAAGGGCGTCAAGCTGCATATTTTTATTTTTTATTTTCTTGAAACAATGCAACAGACATTATCTTGGTGAAATAATGGAGGATTCATAACATATTCTGATGAACATTATGATGGTCATTATATTCTGATGGTTAATATTTTAGTCATTATATCCCTATATCCTTCATTATATTCAGGTTACTGTATACTGGACCTCAATTTATCACGATATTCACTGCATCCTCTTCGTCATTATATCATGGAGGAAAATATATAAAGTCTATTTGAGAGTTGAGGAAGCATTATAAAAATATTAAGAACGAGACATCTGTGAGTCCGTGGAGTGACATACTGCACAAGGCTGAGCACAGGGCCGCTAGTACTTCCCAGGGCCTCTGCTGTTTGATACTTCTCCAACTTTCGCCTTCTAATTTTATTTGTTATTGAAATTCACCCAACGCCAGTCTGTTGTGAGATGACCTGTTCAGTAGTACCGGTAATATTTTCCCCTGTTGAACTCTGTGAACCAAATGAGGTTTAATGGCTTGACATTTACAGAAAGAGGTGTGTCATGGGAGATTGTGGAGCCAGTCAGCGGCAGGCATTAAACTGAGTCACGCCTTCGAGGCCGTTTTACCCACCACACGATATTCTTCGTCACTGTTCAGAGTTGGCACAGTCACCAAACACGATACTTGCTGTACTGGAATGTCGACTCAGCTGTGCTCTGCTCTGACACTATCGGCAGCGAGGGATCTCTCTACTTACCTTCCCATTCCTCGGACCCTATCTGCATTAGGGGTGTATCGATAGGCCATCGGAAGTCCTGGGTCTAATGAGCAAAAGCTCCAGTGGTGGGTCATCATATGACTAAGACCCGCGTCAGGAAACACTGACTTGTTTCCTGATGAATCTTACCAAACCTAACCTGTATAGTGTCACCAGCCTGGCCAGCACTGGCAATATCACTTGTCAGGGACTTGGAGACGTGTCAGGTTTTGAGTGACAACAAGAAACGTGAAGTGTCATAAGACTGGTTTGGTTATTTAATGGGTCTAATTCCTGTCGACTACACCAGGGCCATTAAGGCTACTTGTGACCTGTTCACCGTAAGTCCATCATCTAGCGAACATGACCGGAAATGCCCAACATCCGCCAGGTGTCGTCGAGTGTATTTTTCCCGGTGTAGGCAACACCAGTCTCACAATCACACAGAACAAAAAGTTTTATACTTTCATCCCAAAAGTAGAGATAAAAGTAAGCTCTCATCATATATATACACTGAGAGACTTACTCCTCATAGTGGATGACCTGGAAGGTCACCAGACGTGACCAAAACAGTACGAAACTTTGTTGTTGTTGTTGTAAGTGATAATCATTTGACGCGTATCTTTATCACTTGCCGATTTGTTCAGTCATGCTGTTAATCTTCACGTGATATGATGACAATAAAACCATCCTCTGACGTGTGGTGCTCAAGAAGATGGAAGACAGGAATAAATAAAGGGGATGTAAATAGCGTGCTGAAATTATTTAGCCTAGACAGGACTCGCAGCAATGGTTTTAAGTTGGAAAAATTCAGATTCAGGAAGGATATAGGAAAGCACTGGTTTGGTAATAGAGTTGTGGATGAGTGGAACAAACGCCCGAGTACAGTTATTGAGGCTAAAACGTTGTGTAGTTTTAAAAATAGGTTAGATAAATACATGAGTGGGTGTGGGTGGGTGTGATTTGGGCCTGATTAGCTTGTGCTACTGTGTCAGTTGCCGTGTTCCTTCCTTAAGTGAATGTGACCTGACCTGACTAGGTTGGGGCATTGGCTTAAGCCGGTAGGAGACTTGGACCTGCCTCGCATGGGCCAGTAGGCCTGCTGCAGTGTTCCTTCTTTCTTATGTTCTTATTAACACAGAAACTGTGGCAGCATTGCCTTGATGACGAGGAAGAGTAGAGTAACCACTAGCTAACCGGTCTTATACAGTGCTCTCAGTGACCAAGATTTCTTCTTGGGCAGCAGTCGTGCCTATTTGCTTAGAGGCCTATATATAATTTCAATCTTTTTCAATGGTATTTATCCAGTATATTATGTACGATTTAACCATAGGTAACCCAATAAAATTAAAATTACATGTACTGAGCTGAGGATAGATAGATTCAAAATTAAGTGGGTTATAATGAGAAGTTGATGATGTAGTAATAAACCAAACAAGAAAACAAGAATAAAGAAAGCAAGAATAAAGAAAGAAAGAATAAAGAAAGCAAGAATAAAGAAAGCAAAAATCAAAAGTTGTCGTCCGACGAGGGAAGTGACAATGTCGGGTCACCTCATGGAAGAGACTCGGACCAGGACAACTTCGGACTCAGACTACGTCTGGCGACGACGACAAATTTGTAAGATCAAACAGTATTGTGATGGAACATCAACCTCCTTTTTCTCTTAGAGCCTATTGACGAGTTCTATAATGTCCTCCTTATTAGTTTTAAGGAAGAATAAGCAAGACAAATGGAAGTGAAAAATATAGTTTTTCCTGATTACAAACTGTCTTTGGCAACCTAAATCATCCTGCCAGCATCATCTGATATCCAGCATTTAAAGCATGTGTATGTGTGTGTTATCATTTATATGAACTCATATATGTGGTTGTAGGGGTCAAGTCACTGCTCCTGGCCCCGCCTCTTCACTGATCTCTACTGGGTCCCCTCTCTCCCTGCTCCATGAGCTTTATCAAACCTCGTCTTGAAACTATGTATGGTTCCTGCCTCCAATACGTTACTTGACTCATCTGAGTCTTCAGCTTTCAATTGTGACCCCTTGTTTGTGTCCCATCTCTGGAATATCCTGTCTCTGTCCACCCTGTCTATTCCACGCAGCATTTTGTATGTCGTTATCATGTCTGCCCTGACCATCCTGTCCTCCAGTGTCGTCTGGCCAATTTCCCTTATTAACCTCTCTTCGTAGGACATTACCCTTAGCTCTGGAACCAGCACTTTCTCTAATTTCTTGACGTGTTTGACCAGGTGTGGGTTTCAAACTGGTGTTGCGTACTCCAGTATGGGCCTTACGTACACAGTGTATAAAATCTTAAACTATTTCTTACTGAGGTACCGGAACGCTATTCTATGGTTTGCCGGACGCCCATATGCCGCAGCAGTTATCTGGTTAATGTGTGCTTCTGGCGACGTACTCGGTGTTATACTCACCCTAAGATCTTTCTCCTTGAGTGAGGTTTGCAGTCTTTGGCCATCTAGCCTATACTCTGTCTGCGGTCTTCTTTACCCTTCTCCGATCTTCATGACTTTGCATTTGGCGGGTTAAATTCTAGGAGCCAGTTACTGGACCACGCATCCAGCCTGTCCAGATCTCTTTGTAGACCTGTCTGGTCCGCGTCTGATTTAATTCTCATTAACTTCACATCATCTGCAAACAGGGACACTTTTGAGTCTATCCCTTCCGTCATGTCGTTCACATATACCAAGAATAGCACTGGTCCCAGGACTGACCCCTATGGGGCCCAACTCGTCACAGGCGCTCACTGTGATACCTCATCACGAACTCGCTGTTTGTGATTGGTGTGCGTGTATGTGTATGATGGGGTGTTGAGATGCTGCGCGCGCAGGTGTGCAGTCGCACGCGTGCAAAAATGTCCAGACGCAATTAGAGACAGCAAAAAAATCTGAGGGTTTCCAAGCACTCACTCACATCCTGGAAGAAACTTGAGAGCAAGAAGAGCATTACAATTCATGTATGGAGTTACGTCGCCTGAGTGAGACTAACTAACATGGGGGGTTGTAACTGATCCTTGCATAATAACATTGATTAATGTAAGTCGAGCCTCGCTACACTCATCATAACAAATATCCCATAAAAGTCATAACATTCCATTACAGTTATTATGACGAGAGAAACAATGAGAACAATTATTTTTTTGTTATTTTATTCATTTTGACTCTGATAACAGTTTAGTTAACGTAAGAAAATCTTTCAGAAAACAAAATTAGATGACAACAAATTAATAATGATAAAAACCTTATATACGTAATTACATACAATATATATATATATATATATATTATTACATAATATGGTACAAGAGATTTAAGAGATATATTGTTGATATAAAGGTGGCATATACGGTACATGTTGTTACGTGTGTATCACCGATTATATATATATATATATATATATGTCGTGCCGAATATGTAAAACTGGTCAATTAACAAGAACTCTTTTAAAATTAAGTCCTTTCTAAAATTTTCTCTTATACGTTTAAAGATATATTTTTTCCATTAATGTTAATATAAAAATTTATAATTTTGCACTAAAAGAATATTAGAAAACTTACCTAACCTTATTATAACAAGAATAATTTATTTTAGCCTAACCCAACTAAATATATTTTAGATTTGTTTACAGTAATTTAATACTAAACAAACACAGTGAAATATATTTTTTTCGTTAGGTTAAGAATGATTTTGGCGAAATTATAGAGTTGCTATTTAAGCCAAGATCGCAAGTTCTGCCTATTCGGCAGATATATATATAATATATATATATATATATATATATATATATATATATATTATATATATATATATATTTTATATATATATATATATATATAATATATATATTATATATATATATATATAAACAAGAGAATTGAATCAGGATTTTCAGTCGTAACAGTTTTGCGAACTTTTGATATTTAAGATTCAGTAACAATATCGTTGTTTTAAATTTACAACAATGGCTGAAAAAGCTACAAGAAATTGAATCTTTTAAGTTATCAAAGAATACAAATACTTATTTTTTACTCTTATCATTAGTGGATTAGACTAAAGGTTGAGTTGAGCAATGAAGAGAGAGGTAGAGATGAACAAGTCACTTCTGATATTCATTATACAAATGATGAAGGTGTAAGAACAAGAAGTAGAGAGAGAGAGAGAGAGAAGCAGTGTGCATGTGTTTGTTTATGTATGCATATATGTGTGTGCATGTGTGTATGTATGTATGCATATACGTGTGTGCGTGTGTGTGGGTGTGAACGTCTGTGAACGCATGTGAGTTTATACGTGTGTACACGAGAGAAATGAGAGAAATGAGAGAATGAGGGCAAATGAGACAGGGGAAGTGAGGCACGGAAAGGAAACGAAGTAAGTGATGTAGTGAACGTGGCTGAGAGGCACTTAAATTCTACGTTCACAGATGACGGGCTTCGGGTGGTGGCAGGCCACGTCGTGCCACTTAATGCCATCATTGTAAACGTTGTTGAGGACGGCCAGGCAGTTCTCTCTACCACCCTCACGGTTGTCTGGCTGAGGTCTACGGAATCTGCAACACACACACCAACACACGTGACATACACTGGTGGATTGCCACTTGTTCAACCCGTCTTCCTTAGTAAGTTTGTTACACTTTCACATGAAGTTTACAGCCAATTTCTTAGTGAGGTTTAGTTACAACGAAAAAGCAAAAAATATAAAAGGCATTAAAATAGTCTGCCGCAAGAACTGAAAAAGGTCAGTAACTGCTCACTGCTCATGTAATTATGTCATATTTTAACTGTTCAATGATCCGTCAACAGTCATCCATTTGACTGTTTTCACAAGAGCGCCATGTTGTTTGTGGCTAAGAGCGCTGTCTGTATTAATAATAAATTCTCGGCATTTCCCAATATATATTGTAATGTATGTAATAAAGGACACTTTTGTGCTGTTCAGGACATATATTAATTTAAAAGTAACGTTTCGCCACGAGTAGCATCATAAATCCATCAATAGGACTGGTGAGACCAATCAGAGAGAAACGTTCCCTCTAATAAATGTCCTGAAATGTACACGAGTGTCATTTTCCAGATTGTGAGTATCGGCGTTTACAATCAGATCTTGTTCTTAGCAACACAGTGAACGAACAGCTGGAAGATGCTTCTGCCTGGATGATAAACATAAAACTAACTCTCAATGTTAACAACAACTTCTACACGTTGTTCAGAAATTAAGCTAACAATGCCTATTTCAACCAAGAGAGTAAATAAGTCTCGCATAGAAAGCCAAGAAGAGGGAAAAATTATTATGGACGCATTTTGACTACGACCTGAAATGCAACACTCACATCCATAACATAGCTATGAAAATTACCAAAACTGCGGACATTCTATCAAAAAATTAGGCAACTTTGTTCCCCCTAACAGTATTACTTAGTCTGTAATACTCTCTGATCAATGTTGACCTCACCTGCAGTAAATAAACCATACCACGGGCGGGGATAGAACCCGCGGTCAGTCTCAAAACTCCAGCCCGTCGCGTTAGCCACTGGACCAGCTAGCCACAATAAGATTCGTCCAACTAGGTATATTTCTACACCATAGGAAGGTTAGCATAGGCACCACTGTGACCACAAATGCAAGTTTTTACAGACGAATATTCAGCTAGCGTGGCCGTGACGAACTCTAGCTCAAGTCCCCTCAAAGCCGTTAACATGACTCACGAAATCGTAATGACACGATTGCAAACATACCATACCACGGGTAGGGATAGAACCCGCGATTAGAGAGTATCAAAACTCCAGACCGTCGCGTTAGCGGCTTTGAGGGGACTTGAGCTAGAGTTCGTCACGGCCACACTAGCTGGAGATTCGTCTGTAAAAACTTGCATTTGTGGTCACAGTGGTGCCTATGCTAACCTTCCTATGGTGTAGAAATATACCTAGTTGGACGAATCTTATTGTGGCTAGCTTGTCCAGTGGTTAACGCGACGGTCTAGAGTTTTGAGACTCTGATCGCGGGTTCTATACCCGCCCGTGGTATGATTTGTTGGCAATCGTGTCATTACGATTTCGTGACTCACCTGCAGTATTTATACTTGGGAATCTAGTACAGCAAATCATTGTTACATTACAGAAATTAGCTGCTAAACAAATCACTCATTCAGGTTCCAGACAACACACATCTCCCACTGTTGAAAAGTTTCGACTTACTGAACATTCAACACATCCACACTTGCTATTGTCCATTTTTATATATACAAGACACTGAGAGCGAACTTCAGCCCAGCGCTCCGATTCTTTCCCTGTGTGTGTGTGTGTGTGTGTGTGTGTGTGTGTGTGTGTGTGTGTGTGTGTGTGTGTGTACAACTTACCCTCCGGTGTGTGACCAGTCAGTAACAGTGAAAGGCTCGCCGTTCAGCCATATAAAACCGCTGCCAGACCTCCGACCACCAGTCCAGATGTACTCCAGTCGGTCTGCACGTACAAAAAAAAATA